TTCAAAAGAAGGGGAGCTTAAGATCGGGAGATTTGGATCAGCCTCCGAAATGAAATGATAACCGTTTTGGGCTCTTATCCGCCGCACGACTTTTTCATGGCAACTCCATCTTCATGAAAGAACACGGCAGTGGACATAGGAGTTATCCAACGGTACGAATCATGCGGGGACGACCAAATTCTCACTAGCCGAAGGTGTTGCTTACTAGACACCACAGGTATCATCCTTTAACAATGGTTCAGATCACTGCCTCCTTCGAGCAGAGTCCGGTTTAGCCGAAAGCTAGACGAGAAGATCTGTCCTTGATGGAGGAAGGAGAGAAGTCGTATAGAACGGCGTCAGATTGGAGGAGCTCCTAACCACTTGTGACTGGCCCATCGAGGAGGACCCGACGAACGACCTGCTTCTCAGAGGACTGAGGGCCTATGGTGAAAGTGCCTCAATGCCGCGAAAAAGGGACTTGGAACGATTCGACAGCCACAGAGGATTTGCTAGAGAGGAGGAGATTACTGAGGCTGGATCCGACTGCATCACATCTCGAGCGACTGGTAGCCAATATCAGTCGCAGAACAGCTTTGCAATTAGATCTTCGAAAGTACAGACAATCGAAACTTTTGGAAGCATTTAAGGAAAGAATTCTAAAGAAGCACCGCAGGGACTTCTTTAGAATTCTTTTCTTGAGCTGCTTCCAAAAGTTTCTCGACTACGTTCCGCTGACAACATTACTAAACGAAGACGAGACTTGCACATCTTCTTACAAAAGATGGATTCAATCATAAAGAGATTCTAACCATTCTGTTTGCTCCTCAGCACCCGTGTCATTCCCGTTATTCCCATTGGAGAAATACCACCACGGATCCTGACTGCTGAAGTACGTGCCGCAATCCGATCCAAGAAGGCATCCATGGCTCCGGGATCGGAGCACGTTTTGGCCGTTCTCTTACGAGCTGGAACTTTGTCTACACGAGATACTTGCGGAACATCTAACGGCTTTATCTACAAAAGGGAAGGATCTCCGACCAGTGGAAAACCTCCCAAATAATTTTTCTTCTTAAGAAGGGCGATAGGAAGGATCTTCGGAACTACCGTCCAATACGCGTTTTGATCGCGCTTTACAAGCTCTTCACGAAAATTATTCTCACTCGCATATCAAGGACACTAAATGAAGCCTAAGTAGAACAAACTGGATTTCGCCATGGATTCAGCTGCGTGGATCACATCCAGACAGTTTCGAGCATTATCGAAGTGTGCCGTGAGCACCACCTACCTCTCGTCCTACCCTTCGTTGATTATGAGGAAGCATTGACAGCGTCGAGATTACTGCCATACTGTCAGCGCTCGTCGACCAAGAGGTGGACCCATCTTATGTGAGGACATTGACCGATTGCTACAAGAACTGCTCTACAACGGTACAGACTTCCATCGCCCCTTAACATATCAGTTTCGAAGGGAATTCGACAAGGCGAAACCGTGTCGCCCGAAGCCTTGCCTTGCAGAAGTGGTGATGAAGTCACTGG